GGTGGAATCTCCTTCCTTAGAGGTGTTTAAGATCAGGCTTGACAAAGCCCTGGCTGGGATGATTTAGTTGGGGTTGGTCCTGCTTTGAGCAGGGGGTTGGACTAGATACCTCCTGAGGTCCCTTCCAACCCTGATAGTCTATGATTCTAGACCGGCCCTAAAAACAAGGACTGCGCTTGCCTCCTATCTGAAGGCAGCAGCCCCACCACTGTACAGTGGAGTTCAGTGGCTGGATGGATCAACAATTCCATTTCCTGGGGGGATGAATAGTTTGTCCCTTGGAATGTTCTGTGGGGAAGGAACAAGGATTTTCAAAGCTAGGGGAGGATGATACGAAGGAGCGCTCACCGAGAGCGTGTTAGCACTCCTAGGGGGTGACAGCGGAGACCCGAAGAGGATGGCCAGCTGCCCATGGAAGCCGGTAGTCTTGTGGGGCTTGCCCAGGGTGTCCCCCAGCCTCAGGTACTCAGTGGTACAGATTCAGGCACCAGCCTGTAGTTGTCCAAACTGGGGTCTGATCCCGGTGCCAGCATTAATACCCACGGCTTGTAGACTTCTGGTTGCTTTCAGAGAGATCACGGGGCCCAGAACTTAGGTCTCAGGTAGAGCAGGACTCTTCCAGCAGCACGGCTGGGGCATTGGGTTGAGCGCTGACAAAGCAGAACCACCACCATTCCCTGCAGCATCTAAGACTCCCAGCCCAGCCTTACTGAAATCCCAAGATCTGAGGAGTATTAGGCTGCCAGAGTCCTAGCTTAGTGTTAATGTTAAATATAAACGCTTGCCCTCAGCTAGGAAGTAGTGTCTGTGGCCACAGGCTCCGGTGGAGCCAGGTGAGAGGCCGGTGGCTAGAGCAGTAGGCTGGAACGTGGGAGACTGGGTTCGAGTCCTTGCTCTGTGACAGGCTTCCGGCGTGACCTGGGGCAAGTCACGTACAGTTGGATTTTCAAAAGCACTGTTGAAAATGGCACTAGTCTCTGTGCCTCAGCTTCCCCTCTATAAAATGGCGATAACAGTACCTCCCCCTGGCACATCAGTGGTGTGAAGATGGGGAAGATTGTGTGTGAGGTGCTCAGATACGATGGTAATAGGGGCTAGATATGTACCTTAGTTAGCTAGAGCATCCACCATGCAGTGTTAATCCCATCTCTAGGCTCAGGAAAGTTAGTTTCAAGCCTCAGTAGTGGGTTTTCCTCAGCCCTTAAAAACCAGCATGAGAGCAAGAGCCACCGTGGGCCATGCTATTCCCATCTGGCTTCGCTCAGCAGGGACAGGGACCTTCTGCAGCGAAGGGCTCACACGTCAGCTGGAGGAGACACTCCGCTGCTATTTGCACAGATGAGTAAACCAGTGAGTCATGCAGCTATAATAATTTACCTGCAAACTGGGACAGCTGAGTTACTGACCCCACCCTCCCCTCCCCATGCTACACCAGCTATATCCATATAGCAGATAAGGTGAGCGATTAAGGCAGGTTTCAGAGCAGGGAATTTGTCATGAAGCCTTCAGGCAGCATCAGACAGAGAAGCAGTCAGCTCCTGGCAAGTGGGAACAGGCTTAATCAGTTTGAGAGTGAAACTTCAGTGTAACATGAGAGACAGATTCTAATCGGAGTAGCTAATTACAAAGCAGCCAAGCAATCGCAGAAATTGTTTTTCAAGCATCTTCAATGTAATCAAAAAGAAGAATGAGCAATAAATGGAGAAAGGCCTGGTTTGACAGTCGGATGGAGGATACAATACAGGACAGCTTTTATTTCACAAAGAGATGTCTGTGTCCCAAGTACACCCTTTCAACAGCCACAAGTCCCCTCCTGTGTTTAGATCTGAGCTGTGTTCCCTGCCTCTCGCATGATGAGCCATGCTGTTAGGAAGTGGCTTTAGAAGCTCTGATTTTAAAGCAAAACTTCTGCTTCATTGATGTTTGTAGTGGGGAATGGTGCTGCCTCTCATCTGAGGCATTTAACGTCAAGTCACACGAGTACACCATCCTGAAATGGGTGGGGCTACTTTAAACATTACTGTCCCCCACCCTCCCATGGTCAGTCCGACTCTCGGACATGCTTCCAGAGAGTGGCGTGCAACCAACTTGGACAATAGCATTATGTTCTCTCTGACACTAGTCTCCCTCAAGGCAAAGTGGCAGAGGTGATTTAAAAATGAACTTAGCAGTCGTGGAAGTTTTCCCCACCAGCACCTCAGACAGGCAGTGCAGGCTTGTTTAACCATGCATTGCCAGCCTGCCCCTTTGCTCAGTAGACAGCTTTGGGTTGTACAGACACAAGTAGAAAGTGGCTTCTTTCTTACGCCTTCCTAGTTGCCCATAAACATATGCCATGGGAAATAGAGGTCAGCTCTGATGCATATGGTTCAATTTTAACGGAAGTAAGAGAACTTCAATTTGAGGTATGATTTGAGCATAAGATTAGGAGCCAGAAATTCCTTGATTCTAATCTCACTCCTTTACAAAAGAAAGAAAAAGAAAAAAACAAAAAAAACCCTAAACGTCTGTGGATTTGGACAAATCCTTTCTCCTCTCTGCCTTGGTTCCCGAGCTGTACAATGGGGATAAATACTGGGGCCTTGCGGAATTGAAGAGCCCTGTAGACCTGCCAGCATTTTGGAACAGAAACAGCATTTTCAGAACTCTGCCCCATAAAGCTGGAGCTGCTTGGCCACCTTTGGATTAGGAGCTTGTTCACTGCCTCTTGCCACTTCTGCCACCGGGTTTCCCTGTGCGGCACCGCTGAGGACAGTAGTGGGGTGAAGAGCTGCATCTGAAATCTCCCAGCATTTATGTCAAGCTTCAAACGATAAAATGTTTGAGAGATTCTGGAAGGTGAGTTTAGGGCTGTTGGAAGCTGCAGGATCAGCCACCCCAGGGCTTGATGGCCTCTATCGGGCCAGAGAG